TTCATGAAGGCCAGTCTTACAGGGCATACGTGTTAGTTCAAAGTAGTTTCATTTGCATTTCTTTGATGATGAGTGAGGCTGAGTAATTTTCATGTGTCAGCTGGCTGCCCATATCTCTTCTTATGAAAAAGTGTCCAATCACGTATTTTTGCACACATTTCAAAGGGACTGTTTGTCTGATTTTTCTGAGTGTATGAGTTTCTTGTAGATCCTACATGTAATGCCTCTTTACAGATATGTAGGTGGAGAATTGCTTTTCCCTTTCTGTTGGCTGTTTACCTGCCCTTATGACAGTTTCTTTTGTTTTGCAGAAATATATTAATTTGATGAGATCCCACGTGTCTTACGACTTAAGGCATGGGCATTTAGGGCCTGAAGAGGAATTAATTTCCAATTCCAGTTTCCCTAATGGTGTCTCCTGCGTTTTTTAAGATTTTAAAAATCTGTTGTTTTACCTTTAGATCTTTGAACCATCTAGAGGTAATGTTTATCGCGCCCGGTCGCCAAACCGGGTCTCCGCCTCTGCCCCAGTCCCCGCCTCCGAACCCAGACGCTGAACACCTGGCCCTGAATTTGGGACCGGCCTTCGGCCGCCAGTGCCCGGAGCCGGTCCCGAGTCCGGCCCGGCCCCTACCTTGGCCCTGCCTTGGGACCCAGAATCAGGACCCCTGACCCAGGGCGCCGTCACACCCTGGGCCGGTACCGGACCCTCCCCCGGCCCTCGCCCCCGTGCCCCCGCCCGGGTTTAATTAGCGCTGATTGCGAGCGCGAGGGGGGAGGCGCCACGCCGAGGTAATGAGCGCAGTGATCACGGCCGCGACGCCGGCGCTGAGCAGTGCTAAAAGGCCACTAGCGGGGTTGGAGGCTGAAAAATTAGGGTTTTTAATGATAATTTTATGCAGAATAATTGTCACAGTGTGACATAAATGGTTAGCTCCTCGGGCGGGGGCTTCCAAGCCCTCACGGAAGCGGAGCTGTGCCGGCCTCCCTAGGCCCTGGACGCCGCCCCCCCCGCCGCTCCCCTGGGTCCCGGGAGAGGCAGCGGGGCCACGTGTCGTGCACAGGATTTGTGTGGGGTTTCTCAGTTTGCATTGTGTCATTTTGACATTTCTTTTCGTGAAAATGTTCCAGTCCCTGCTTTGGGGGATATCGTTGCTTGGCTTTCTACCTCCCGGTGAGGATGAAATAGAGTCACCCATGGAACGTGCTTGGAACGCGCGCGGCTCTCAGGAACTGTCTCCCTTGCCATTTTTTCACTAGTTGCTCAAAGTCGTCCATATCTCCTGCACCAGGAGGACAAGGGCAGCAGGAAGGCAGGGCTACTGGGCTGTGAGTGACCGAGGCAGGGACGTCACCTAGGAAAGATTCCTTGAAGTCAGAGCCCGGACTCGGGCATGGGGACCACCACCAGTCTTGAGAGCAACTGAAGGAATCAAGGTTCTAGCAATATGTCTGTAAAAGCAGCATTTCTGGGGTGTAATTGATATACAACAAGCTGCACTTTTTTTAAAAATTGGATTCAGGGGTACACAGGCATGTTGGACACATGGACATATTGTGGAGTGGTGGGGATTGGGTCTCAGGTAGCCCATTCCCCAGATAGTGAACACTGGTGCTCCCGTACGGGTAATTTCTGAACCCGTACCTCTCCCTCACCTTCCCCCTTTATTGGTGTCCCCAGTGTCTATTATTCCATCTTTGTGACAGTTTAGCTCATATGAGAGCATGCAGTGTTGGGTTTTCTGTTTCTGAGTCAGTTCTGGGAGTCACTTAGGATGGTGATCTCCCTCCCAGCTTCACATGTTTCACGTGTGCAATTTCACATTGTGCCCATTGTTCTCTCTCCCTCTGCCCACTTCCTTGTTCTCCACTCCTCACACTGATCTGCTTTCTTTCACTACATTTAGTCTGAATTTTCTACAGTTTAGTATAAATGGAACATACTCTTTCTTGTCTGACTTCTTTCACTCAACTTGATTTATTTTAAGATTTCTCTATGTTGTGTGTAGCCATAGTTCATTCCTTTTTACTGCCAAGTAGTGTTCCATGGTAAGGATGTGCTACAGTGTGTTTGTCCGTTCATATGTTGAAAAACATTTGCTTGTTTCCAGTTGGGGTCTTTTACAAATAAAATTGCTATGAGCATGTGTGTACGAGCCTTCGAATGGGCATATGCTTTTATTTCTTTTGGATAAATACCTAGGAGTGCAATGGCTAGTCCTTGTGATAAGATTAAGAACATAACCATTTAAGAAACTGCCCACTTGATTTCCAAAGTTGTACCATCTTACATTTCTACAGGCAATGTCTGAGTGCTCCAATTACTTCACATCTTCACCAATAGTTGGTATGGTCAGTCTTTTATTGTACACCTTCTAACAGGAATGTAGAAGTATCTTGTTACAGTTTTAATTTTCAACTCCCTTGTGATTAGTGACATTGAATATCGTTGCATGTACTTATTTGCCATTCATATACAGTCATGCATCATTTAGCACCAAAGATTCCTTCTCAGAAATGCATCATTGCAGCCGGGCTTGGTGGCTCAGCCTGTAATCCCGCGCCTTTGGGAGGCTGAGGTGAGTGGATTGCCTGAGCCCGCGGGTTCAAGACCCGCCTGGGCAGCAAGACCTCATCTCTACAGTAAATAAAAAAATCAGCCAAGCATGGTAGCGCATGCCTGTAATTCCAGCTACTTGGAAGGCTGAGGCGGAAGGATCGCCGGAGCCCAGCAGGTCGAGGCTGCGGTGGCTGGGAGCGGCCACTGCACTCCAGTCTGGGCGACAGAGTGAGACTCCAACTCAAAAAAAAAAAAAAGAAATGCATCATTGCACTATTGTGTGAACCTCATAGGGTGTACTTACACAAAGCTTGCTGGTATAACCTACTATCCACCTAGGCTTTATGAAAATTGCTCCTAGGCTGTAACCCATACAGCATGTTACTTTACTCAATACTGTAGGCAGTCATAACAAAATGCTAAAGATTTGTGTATCTAAACATGGAAAATATACAATAAAAACAGAACATTACAATCTTATGGGACCACCATCGTGTATGGAGTCTGTCATTGACCAAAATGTCATTATAAGGAACATGACTGTATCTTCTTTCGTGAAGTAGCCATTCAAATCTTTTGTCCATTTCTTAAATTGGGTTGTTTGTTTTCTTGTTAAATTTTGAGATGTCTTCACACTAGATCCAAGTCCCCTGTCAGATATGTGATTTATAAAAGTATTATTTTCCAGTCTCTGGCTTATATTTTCTTCTCTTATCAGTGTCTTTTGAAGAACAGGTCTTCATTTTGATGGAGTACAAGTTATCAATTTTTTTTCTTTTAGGAATTATGTTGGGTTATTGTATCTAAAAAATCTTTGCCTGACCCAAGATCACAAAGATTTTCTCTTATGTTTTCTTCTAGAAATTTTATAATTTTATATTTACACATGTCTAATTATCCATTTTGAGTTAATTTCTGGATATGATCTAGGGTATAGATTAAAGCTTTTTTTGACATATGGATACCCAACCATTCCATATGTCAAAAGTCTTTTGAAAAGTCTGTTCATTCTCCACTGAATTGTCTTTGCACCTTTGTCAAAAATAATTAACTACATAGCTGGGTGTGGTTGCTTATGCCTGTAATTCCAGCACTTTGGGAGGCTGAGGTGGGAGGACTGCTTGAGCCCAGGAGTTCGAGACCAGTCTGGGAAACATAGTGAGATCTTGTCTCTACGAAAAATCAAAAAAATTAGCTGGGTGTGGTGATGCATGCCTGTAGTATCAGCTATTTGGGAAGCTATGGCAGAAAGATCACTTGAACCCAGCAGGTTGAGGCTGCAGTGAGCCGTGAGCATGCCACTACACTCCAGCCTGGGTGACAGAGTGAGACTCCTACTCAAATTAATTAATTAATACACTACATATATGTGTGGATTTATTTCTGGACTCTCTTGTCAAGCACACCCAGGGCAGGACGAGGTCTGACCGATGCAACTGGCAAAGACACAAGGAGCCACTTGATTACACAAACAGTGGAAGGAAGAGTAACCAATGGTGTCAGCTCTTCATAGTCCTTGTCCCACCGATCAAAAAGAATGACACCTAAACAATAGGAGCTGAAGATGTCAATGTGAGTTGAAGGACACCCCTTTGCTGAGTCACCAAACCTAGACTTGAGCTAAGCAGTTTTATTGTCTGCAGCTCTGTTGTAAAGGGATAGGCAGGAAGGCTCCTACCTCATCAGAACCTGGGAGCTGATGAGAAACTGACTCCTGGCAGCCTCCATACCAAGCAAGGGGACAATGGTCTTACTGCAACTCCTTATAAGCTTTCAGTCCAGGAGGATAACGGTGCTCTGCCAAGACTTCAATTCAGCAGCGGTTCCAATTTTGCTTGCGCAGCCTATGTGGATACATACAGAGTCATCCCCTATACCTCTATGTCACTGCTCAAGTTGCCTATTTTAATACCAATTCTATGCTGTCTTAAATACTGCAACTTTATGATAAATTTTGAAGTCAGGTAGTATAGGTTCTAAGCACTGTTCTTTTTTGAAGTTGTTTTGGTTAATCTTGCTCCTTTTCATATGAATTTTAGATTCCATTTGTCATTTTCTACAAAATATCCCCTGGACTTGGACTGGGGTTGCTATGAATCTATAAATCAATTTGAAGGAAATTGACATCATAAAAATATTGAGGCTTCCAACCTGTGAACACAATATACCCCTCTATTTTCTAGGTCTTCTTTAATTTCTCTCAACTGAGTCTTATAGCTATTAGTGTACAGGCCTTGCACATATTTTGTAAGATTCATCCCTAATTATTTCATATTTTTGATGCCATTGTAAATGGTGTTTTTAATTTCAATTTCTGATTACATATGGCTACCATATAAAATTTATAATAATTTAGTTATGTATATTGCTCTTACAGCCTGTAACTTTTCTAAACTCACTATTTGTTCTAG